AACAAGGCACAGGTACAGTACTGTTATCGAACACTAAGAGTTCTGTGCATGTTTCCTGTGCTAAAATAAATAACTGAAAATTAGATTCTAGCATCTAAAACAAAAATGTTGGCGGTGAATTGAGCAAGCAACATTTACAAAGAAATGTTTCTCTGAGACAAATGCTTGGCATGAGTAATGTGCAGCTGTGGCACCAAACCCCCTTTTTTTTAAATCTTTTTAAAGTGTTAGGCCATCTTTCATCACATTGTTGACAGTTTTTGTACTACAAAGCAGTCCAGTGGTACAATCAACCTTGTGAATTCTATTATTTACCAGTTTGGCTCCTTTATCCCTTTATTCACTGTTAAAGTGAATGAATGAATAAAGTTTCAATACATTTACAAATCTGTATGAACAAGTTGTCACAATGAACGGCAAGTGCATCACTTTTCAAAAAAGCTCTACACTGTAAGCAGACCTTGCACTTAAAATGTTACTAAACCCAGGACCCTGCATTCACTATATCTGGTCTTCCACAGTACACAGAACATGGAAATGCAATTAATGTAGTAAATATAAACTGCTAAATACTTTTTCTCATCAGCCATTAGAGCAGTCTTCGATCAGTGTTCAGCAGAGCACTGGTTAAAGCTTGTAGGGGGAGTTTTGTTTCTGCTCTAGGAGGATGCAGAATCCCTGACCTCTGTCTGGACAGCGCTAATTGGCCCTGTGCTAATCACATGCACTCTCCCAAGAAAAAAACAAAAATCTCTAGCAATACACATCAAACTGAGCATGTGCAGAGTGTCTCCACATGATATGTCTTATCAGGAGATGAGAGGGGGTCCTTGGAAGAAGGGGAGGATCCAAGAAGTCAGGATCCAACTGCATTTTTACACAATGCAGAGGATTAAACCCTTAGGTTCCACAGCGAGTATAACAAGCACACTTTACTGCATATACAGACTGTTTTTTCTTTTGTGGGTTTAGTAACACTTCAAAAGTAAAGGTCCACTTAGTACAGGAGCGCAATCTCAGCACAGTAAAGTGTTTATTTAGAGCTGCATACATGTGGCCGTTCGTTGTTAAAGCCCACTGCCAAGAGGCCACATATATGCGCTAGGTCACTGGGAAGTAGATAAAGTGGCAGCAAACTCGTGAAAAAAAAAAAATCCTGCTGCAAAGTAATATAATGTGCTAGTATGCATTGTATATTAGCACATTATGAAAGGCTTACCTTAGAACGAAGCCCTCCAGCGGTGAACTTTCATCGCTGCAAAAGGTTCCGACATCACCCAGTCTTTCTACCAGGTTTGTGGGCTGCGGCTACTTGAATGGCCGAGCCGCCAATGACGTTACTCCGTGCATGCACATGGGAGTTTCGGCCATGGCACACAGCTCTGAAAGAACGGCATGGGTATGACGTTCCTTCGGAGCGCTTGCGTCAGTATTGTTGCCAGCTGCTGCTCCACAGAATATCTCCTAAATGGTGAACGTTTAGGAGATATTCATTTTACCTACAAATAAACTTTATTATAAGCTTACCTGTAGATAAAAATATACAAAGTGACTTTACTACCACTTTAAAGGAATACTATCTGTAAGTTTTGCAATTAGACATTACCTAGCCTGTATGCACTAAACTGAAAAAAAAAATATATATATCTTTTTGCTAGGTCCAATAATAAAAGTATCCATTGTGCCGAAAGGAAACATTTAATACATTAAATTACTATTATAAAATAATGTAAACCTTTTCTAAGGGAAATACTGGGGCTGCTGTTGATGTTCTAGAAAAAACTAAATCTAATTTGCTGGCTGCTGCGCTGACCCTCTGGCATCAATATATTTTGAGTTATTTTACTGGAACAAGTATGCAAATCAGTAGTGCCTTCATCTGCATTACTAATTCTGGATTAGTGGCTGAAGGTAAAGGGGTACCATAACAAATAGGCAGATAACATGCAGAATGATTTGTCAGCATTGACAGCTTTTACTTAGAAAATATTTCCTTTTAAGGGTTGACAGCTGCAATCTGATAACACGGTGACACATTTTGAACTAGTCCCACCTGGTTAAATGGACACTTCACAGCTTGTAAAAGTATAACAAGAAAAAAGGCAAGGAATAGCACTAACAATCCCTGCTGCTGGAACCATCTTCCAGTGCAACTGAACCCAGACTATGGACATTTGTTTTACTTATTCCTAACAATTAGCAGTAAATTAGCTTTAAAACAAGCCCTCACTGACCTCTGTAGCCATAGGTACTGTGAAGCATTTAATTTCATCCTTAGAGGCTAACTTCACCCGTATTTAGTGTAGAACTTGAAAACATGTTCAACTCCTCCCACCAGTGTCACCAACTCCGCCCCCTCAAGTCTGACACTGGGCAGGGAATCTTCTACCCACACCTGCTGTCACTTTTTGAAAAAAAGCACAGCTGTGCTGCACTTCGCAGCTGACGGCTTGTAGTTCTCATTGAATTGTGAGGGAGCCAATGAGTGCTCTCATAGTTCCTTCACAAGCCCGGCAGCTTTCAAAATGACAGCCTGTGTGGAGGTATGGGCAGAAAGCTGCAGGGCTTGTCTGTAGAAAACTAACACTGCACCCATGATCCACTGATTGCAGGTGCATCATAATTATAAATGCATATTTTGGTTTCTGCAAAAATATGTTCATTTATTATTTTTTCTGAAAAGGTGAACTTTTCCTTTAGGGAACACAACTGAGACTCTGAAGCTCAGTTTCAGCTTTTCTTACATTAGAAGGCTGCCAAGACAAAGCTGCTAGAAGAAGGGGAGATGAGCTACAATTTCAGAGCAGCAGTTGTGAAATTTATGGATTAATTGCTCTATAGTACCTGGGGCTACAGAGGTCAGGGTTTATTTTAAAGCTCATTTACCACTTGTTAAAAATATGTAAACATTTAAATGTCCATATCCTGGGGACAGATTTACTTTAAGCGTAGACTGCTGCAGTCAGACAAGGCTACAGGTAAAGTATGAACACTTCCCATTGGGCAAAATGGATACTTACAGGACGTACAAGAATACAGGTGAGGTGCATTATTTCAGTTCCTGTTACCATTTGCTTTCTCACTGCCCTGTTCTAGAATATTTCTCTTTATCAAACAAAAGTGCAAAAAAGGCAAAAGCTACACTTTTAACCTGATAAATTCAACAGTAAACTGGTACACAGCATTATCTTGACAATTAGTGTTTAGGGGACTTCTTGCAACCAAGAGATTAACCCTTCAAATATTGGAGGGGCCCGCAACATGAAAAATATTCTATGTATATAGCACCATTCAATTCCAAAAGACATATTTTGTTTCAATTTGCAGAGGCACTCACAACTATTGCTTGCATAGAAGCCCAGCTCTGTGCAATCCCAGGGTGCTCTGCAAGGCTGATCAAGATAACAAAGCAAACAGGCAAGGACACCGCTCAAAGACAAAACAGTTTTAAAGCAAAAATGCCCTAAAAAGGAGGCAAATCAAAAGAAAAAAAAAAAAAGTTGCTCTAAACCTGCACCCATACTGTTACATATTTTCTAGTAACCAATGCACTGCAGGCCACTCTAAAAGAAAGGGTCAATACCTTTATTGCTCAAGTCCTACTTCCAATATTACCCCTCAAGCAAAGGGGGGTACTGCCAACATTTTTAGAAAAATATTAAAGACATTTGTAGCATACAGGTAAAAAGGAAAAACTAAAATGAAAACCCATGTTGCCACAAATGTTGCAAGTTGATGTTCAACTGCAGTTGGTTGCTATCCATGAAACCCAAGGAAACATAAAAGCAGAAAACTAAATCAAACAGATATTTTCAACACACAGTGGGGGATGAAGCAGCCATAGTGCAGAGCTGCCTCATTCAACTTGCTCCCCTTTTATACAATGACATCAAACAGGGAACAGATTTTACTCTTTATATATCTTTTAAATATATTAAATGCCTAAATAGATTACTTTATTTTGCGTTCGCTATTTTTTTAATCTATTTTTATTTATTTAATTTTTTTTTTGCTTTTGTTCTTTAAGTTTAAAGCATTTCTGTTTACTAGTCTTCAACGGATGGGACAAATTCCAAACGGTCAAACTTAAGAAACCTGCTTGTCCGAATAGTTTTTTCCAGAATTCAAAAAGTGCGTCTCCAGTTCCAAAAAATTGTGAAAAAATTGTGTTTAAGACAGCTTTTTTTTTCCTTTTATAGTTGTTACTTTTGAAGTCTCAGAAGAAAACAGAAAGCAGTAATTTAAAAAAAATCATATAGAAACTGTTATTTTCAAACCTAAAAAATGTGTTGTTTTTTTTCATTTTTTTTTTTTTTAATTTTTTAAGCAGGGATAAGTGTTGTATGTAGAAGCCAGTAACATAAAGATACATAAAAAGTGAAGTATAAGACTGTGGCTGTTGGAATATTCCTCAAAACAGGATGTGCTCTCTCTGTTGGCAAATTAAGCAAATAAGCATTTTTTTTTTCTTCAGGAGACTCCGCACAAGTTATCCCAATTGCAAGAGCATGTCTGTGAAGATACTTGTCAACTTTATTCACTTCGTTTTGAAGATGATGAAAAAAAAATTAAATGAAAATAAAAAAGTGTGGTTTAAAGAAAGACAAAAAAAAAACAAAAAACATGTACCAGTGATTAAATCATTTTTTCCCCGGGAAAAGATGTTTTGCTTCCTGATTGGATCAAAGATTTTTGAATAACAATGCTACTTTTAAATTTGTTTAAATAACTATATATATATATATATATATAGAATTTTGTATACATAGTTATCTAAACAAAAATATATATATATATTTGTATGTATATATATATTTATATATTTATTTATATAATTATATATCCAATGTCCTGATTCTATTTAGGTTCCATTTGTATTTATTTTCTCTCCCTTGTGGTTAAGCGCACATTAAAGAAAGGGGCATGATAGCCAGATATTGTCTCTCATGCACTGATGAAATGACTTAGGAAAAAAAGCCAGCAATCCCAAGGCAGTAGTCTCAGAGATCAGGGTGGTCCATGGCTTCGTTATAAGTGATTATCCTATTGGGATCTGAAAAAGAAAAAGAAAAATGTAATTTTGTGTAATAAACCAGCAATGCTTACAAAGCATAAACTTCCATAGTTAATTTGACAATTGCTGATCAAGCAATGTGAAAAAGTCCAGAGTGCCAGGTGAAAGCAAACTAGAAGCTAACTTTGTTCCACAAATATTGCATGCTGTTGTGCTAGGAGACAAGTGTAAAGCCATAAATTACACATTTTCTATGAAGTTGCCATCAATAATGCATAAAGATGACAGACAACTGAATGCAGCTCTCAGGTGAGCTGCGGAACGGTGCAGAAATCTGTAACACGTCTGCATTTTCCAATCTGGAGCGCACCCACATCTCTATTTCTCTTTGCATTTCTAAAATAGTGCTCTGAGCTTTACAAGGGCGCCGACACCTGGAACAAACACTTCCTGTAGTGAAACACTTCCAGTAGTTTGAGCACTACTGCTCAAAAGTCTTTTGAGCAGAGTATATGCTCTCTGCTCATTCATGGCATCTGTAAGGTGCCTGGTAAAATGTAACTTCTATGCTCATCTGCGGGATCAAATTATTTAGCCAACCAATGGCTAAAGAGGATCGATGTGGGACCCAGAAGAATAAACAAAGGACAGCACATCGATGGCAGCTGCCTAGACTCATCTCTGGAGAAAAGCACAGGAGGAAGTGGCCATTTATTTATGGATTTCAAAACGGTTTTGCATTTCTCCCATTTATGACCACCCAACACACATGTGCAGTGTCAAAAGGGTGGGCTTTAACACCCACATGCTGTACATACACTGGACTGCCACTATTTAGGTCAGCCTTTTTCAACCAGGGGTGCCTTGGCAAAATGTCTAAAAAATGCCCAAAAATTGTATATAAAGCCAGGGGGTGGATTAAGCCTGCTTTTAAATTACATAAATCCACAGGTTTTCATTGTGCACCATAGCAACCTTCTAGCTGCCAGCATCCTAAGAACCAATGATGTCATCGGTTGATAAGGACATCAGACACCTGCACAGCATCCTTTTTTGCCCCTCTCCATCAGCACCGGGGTCACATCAGCTTAGGGGAGAGAGAAAAACTGAGGGAGAAAAGAAACACTGGAATACTAGTCAGTACCAGTGTGCTTTTGTAAGAATAAATCACCTTTAACGTTGGGTGCTCTGCATTGGATGTTGGTGCATGTGTGGATGTTGCTGCATTATGTAAAACTAAGTTTCGTTTTTACAATTTAGAATGGTGTGCCTCAAGAATTTTAAAGGGTACCTTGGCTGAAAAAAGGTTTTGAAAGTCTGGTTTATATGCCGAGAGTGTGCTCACAACACAAAGACAGCTCTCAGTCCAGGGTAAAGATCTGTAGCCAACACAATAGGATTCTGGTCATGTGACCACTGTGACAGTGGTCACATGATTGTGATTTTTCCTGTCCCGTAGGCCTTACAAACTACTTAAAGAGATGCTGGAGCAGACAGGAAGGGGTAAAAATAACCAATATCAATATTCCACCAACAGGAAACTCTGGTTAAACCCTTTTTTCTCTACTAAAATTTTAGTTTCAAACAAAAAAGTACGTGCAGCCAGTACACAGGGGTAAGCAGGCCATAGACGGAGCACATTTCTGTCCTGCAACCTTTCCCCCATCAACACAGTCAGTGTTGACAGGGAAATCCCTACCACGGAACCACTGTGTTCTTCCGGTAGGGGAAGCCATCCCCGTCAGAGGAACAAGGCGATTATTGCTAGTGGCTAACAGTTGCTAGCAATAATCGCAGGTAAAATCCAGCAAGCTGGTTGTACACAGGTTGATCGATCTATTAACTTTCAGCCAGCCCATACATGGTTCGAATCTCAGCAAGTTCAGCATGGCATGCTTAAGATTATTATACAATATGCATTGGGAAAATGCAATGGGTGTGGACCAGGCCTAAATCATATATGTGTTTTCACTTGAAATAGAAATCTGGTACAATTAGCTAATTAGAGTGGAACACACTCTAAAACATTCCTAATACGCAAGGGTTACAACCCCTGCCAGGTTCTCATTTGTGTGTCTTTACTGGGTACACTTCACATTCTGTCTAAAAAAAACATGGCAGCAAATTAGTTGAAATCTCCCATCACTGACAGTTGTCTCCACTGGGACCGTTCCCCTCTACTCAGGTTCCACTCAGAATGATAAAAATTGGATTCCCTTTAATATCCCAGTCACAATGACCACCAAGACAATGAGAACTTCAGAACCTAACCCTTCCCCCCCCCCCCCCCAAAAGAAGTTAAAGAGTTTTTTTTTTGCTGGAGTGCAACATGAAGGGAGAAACTAAGCTATACAAAGACAAATAATCATTCAAATAAAGTTTTAAACAGAGGTCCTTACCTTGTTTTTGCAACTTCAAAATAGATTCCATTTCTGTAAAGAAAACATAAAATAAAAACACGGGTCAGGATGATGGAATGAGGAAACAGAAAATACAGAGTTACTCAGGAAGGGCATTCCTACTGACAATTATTTCCTTGCCACATTATACCGCAAAGCAACATGTGGTAAAAGGTCATTTATTCATGTTAATTGGAGGAGGATATATTAATATAGCATACTGACAAAATACAATTGCTTCTTATCATATCCTTTATGAACAGGTAATCTTTACCTCCATTAGAAACCCATAAACCACTTTAAAGCGGAGTTCCACCCAAAAGTGGAAGCTCCGCTTGTTGGCCTCCCTCCCCCCCCTCCACTGCCATATTTGGCACCAAGCTGTGAAGCCGCAAACTGACACAGCCTGGTGCCCACAGTTGAGATGCCAGCGTCGAGGAGAGAAAGGATGGCACAAGTGAGTACATCGCTGGATCCTGGGACAGGTAAGTCTGCCTTTATTAAAAGTCAGCAGATACAGTTTTTGTAGCTGCTGAGTTAATAAACACAAAAACGGCTGAAACTCTGCTTTAAATAGCTGTAGAAAAAATAGCAGCACAAGGACATGAAATATAGTTGTATGAACTTTGTTCAGGGCCCAGCTACATTCCACAAATGGAAACCAAGTATACAGAGGTTAGAAAAAGATTGTTGATATTGCCTACAAGCATAAAATCAATATATGGACAAGTGAAACTGAACCTTGCTCATACTGGGGAAATTAACAGGTTTTACTTTACTGTAGAGAGCCTAAGGAAAAATTTGTTACCGTTCCTGTTCTCCTCTGCTCCACCCAGGAGAACTCCCCAGTACTTCCAGATATTAGGTGACACCCCTAACTATCCCCTGGCAATACAACACTTGGTACATGTACATCTCGCTGCCAGCCTGGGAGGAAGCACAACCCTAGGTACATTTTAACTAGCTCAGCACATGTTAAAGTGGTTGTAAAAGCAGAAGTTTTTTCTATCTTACTGCATAACATGCGGCAAAGTAAAAAACCACCTGCATGCATCTTTCCCTGCAACCTCCATATACATACCTGAGCACCATCTCAATCAAGCCATGTGTAGGAGGGCCAAGGCTGTCTCGGCTTACTCAATCCTCATTGGCTCAGATAAAGCAGCAGAAGCCATTGGCTTCCCCTGCTGTCAATCAGAGCCAGTGACAAGGAGTCGAGCCCTGTTCTGTGTACCCTATGGACACACAGAGCAGGGCTCAGGAGCGAGCATGCATGAATGCCCCCATAGCAAGTGGCTTGTTCTAAGGACACTCAGCAGACGGGTAGAGCCCAGAGCACCAGTGGGGGACCCCAGAAGAGGACTGGGGCTGCATTGTGTAACAGCATTGCACAGAGCAGGTAAGTACATGTTTGTTAGTTTAAGAAAAAAAAAAAAAAAAAAATAAATATATATATATATATATATATATCACTTTAAGAGCCCTGCATTGCTCACTTACAAAAACAAAAAATAACAGTCTCAGAAATGTGCCACATTCCTACAACAGGGGAATCTAGCAGTGACTGCACATACCCTTTACATGTTTCTGGAGTGCTGAAGTGCCCCAAATCTAGCAGCAAATTTGCACATTTCAACATGGTCGATTAGTGTTAGCTTCCCCATCCTTTCCCACTAGTCAGTAAGTCTACTCATCATAGCGAAGGAACAAGGAGCTGGAAGTGGCATGCCAGCCCTAACCTATAGCAAGATTGCCAAACTTTACATATGAAATAGCATCAGAACATACCCTAACACCCCGATCATGCGGGGTGCGATTTGGCATGCAATTTGCAAATAATATGCCAAATCACACCCTATTGTCCGCTATTAGAGCGGTCATATCGGTGCAGTTCCAACTTGGTCGGAGCTGCACCAATTTCTAAAGTAGTGCATATACTACTTTCGTTGCGATTTGCAGAGACATCTGAGTCAGATGTCTTGCAAATTGCAACTGAAATCAGCAAGTCACTTGATTTTGAAATCATGCGACTTCATTGTAGGTCACATGATTTAAAAAAAAATAAAACGGCTTTTATGTGACCGGGGGCTAAAGCATACTGTATGCATGCCCTCCCCCACCTCCCCACTCAAGTGTCCTGTATAGCACTGCCAAAAAGAGAATGCCACATAACTAATCCAGCTTCATCCACTCTTGTCCTAGGGTCACATGACAGAACCTTCCATGTGTCACAGTACATCTGAGGTGTCTATTAAAGTGTATCTGTAGTCAATTTTTTTTGTTTGGGATAGACTAGGGAAGGATATTGTAAAATCAGTATATCAGTAAAAACGTAAAGTGAATGTAAACCCTCACCTTGTAAAACAACCCATTCATTTTAAAATAGAAATGAAAGGCAAAGCGTGTGTATAGATGTATATATATATAAAAAAAAAAAATTATAAAATACCCCCCCCCCCCCTTTTTTTGTTTGTTATATAAGTTAACATATACCCTCTTTTCTCATAAAAGCTGAGGGAGGAGAAACAGCAGGACACCGAGTGAGAGAGTGTGAGAGTGTGTGAGTGTGTGTGTTACAAGACTGATCATTGGAGAGCAAGCTGAGATCCCAGCATAGGTGGAGAACTAACCATGGTGTGTTCTCCTGCCTAGTCTGGTCAGTTTTAACAGGAAAACAAAAAGGGACTTTCAGGACCAGCAGGGATTTCACACAAAGGATGCAGTACAAAGAGAACAGGATACTTTTTCATACAAAGTACATGGTATAGCAGGTACATATCAGGAATATGAAAGTTTGGGTTTACATATTCTGTAACAGGGGTTCTAACCCTTCCTCACTCTATCCAAAACTTTTAAAAAAGTGTTGGCTATTATTAGATTTTAACCCACTTGCCACTGATATGACATTTTTAAAAATGGCCTGGTTAAAACAAGCTCATGCCTGCAGCCAAGAGTTTGGTGCTGTTTTATCACCCGACTTCCAGATTTTTAGTAAAAGTGATCCAGACAATTGTAGAGATGCCCGATCACCTTTACTATACTGTAAACAGCCAACCATCTGTGCTTGATTAGTTGCAGTGGATAGCATAGGAGACATAGACCGGCCATACATGAGACGATTTTGGAACGATTTTTTGTTCGAAAATCAGACCTAAGACTAATCGGACGATTTTCACTCTGTTAGTGGGGCAGCGGCACCGGACGATTTTCGTGGTTCCTCCCCATTTCTTTTAAAATCGGGCATGCTGGAACATTTGTGAAATACGGCTGATTTTCAAAATCATTGGTGGCACCATCGGATTACAGAATGAACAATGTTTTCCATTGAAAAATCATTCAGAATTAGACCCATGTATGGCCTGCTATAGTGGGGGAGATTTACTAAAACTGGAACACTCAGAATCTGGTGCAACTGTGCATAGTAGCCAATCAACTTCTATCTTCAGCTTGTTCAATTAAGCTTTGACAATAAAACCTGGAAGCTGACTGATTTCTAGGCAGAGCTGCACCAGATTTTGCACCATACAGCATTAGTAAATAACCCCCTAATGGTCTAACAGAGCCCTGATGTCGCTATATATAGGATCTGTGCACCACCCATGCTATCACAAAGCTGCTTGTGAGAGTAATAATGTTAAATAGAAATTAAAAATAAAATTGTTAAAATAATTAAACAATGCAATAACACAAAAGGGTTACAAACTACACAATCACCCCATGCACAAAAGCAAACGTGCTGGGTAGATCACTTTATATAAAGAGTGATTGCATCACATATTAGACATCACTAATGTTGGAGTGAGAGTGATAATTCTATGTCAGTATTGAAAATGCTTTTAAAGTGTTGCCTTTGGACAATTTTGGGTGCCATAGTTATTTGCTATTGCACAGGTACACACAATTTTAAAGTGTTACTAAAGGGAAGCAATACCAATTTCTCTCTCTTTTTTTTTATCATTATCTCTTGTTGTATTAAGAAAAATTCCAGGCAATGGCATGTTGTACATAGTTACACTGATTCAGCTTGGACCAATGTAATTATGGATATGACATTAGCAGAAAAGAACAAAAAACAGGCGCACGCTCCTCGTGCATTACCGTGATAATATGAGTGTGCCCTGTTTTGTTCTTTTCTGCTAGTATCAAGATTCCCCAATATACCAAGGGTGGCACCTCAGCAAGTGCTGGATTCCATATTTTGAGTGCAGCAAGAGATTTGAGTGCTGGTTTTTGGTTACCGTTAGATGCATATGACATACCTGGCCGATGCTGCTTGAAATCACTGATGCAGATACTGCTACTTCGGTCATCTCCACTTGTTCTCATGCTGAGTGGCCAGCCTGATGCACTGTGAATGCAGGAGGTTGGTAGCTCAGCACATTTGCCATTCAGAGAATGCTTTGCATTTTCTGAATGAATGCAAACCATTCTCTGGTTGAATGAGTTGGAAAGACAGGGCGGTGACATCCAATTGCAAAATGCTTTGCATTCTTTCAGAAAATGCAAAGCATTCTCTGAACACCCATGCTAAACTGCTGATCTCCTTCCTGTAGTCACAATGCACAGGCCAATCACTTAGCTTGGGACCTGGAAGCAAGTGGAGATCACTGAAGTGAACATCCCTGCTAAGTTCACTTCAGCAGTTTCCAGCTTTCAGTGGCATTTTCCAGGTACATCATACACATAGTTACACCTTGGTACAAGCTGGATTATTATTGTACAGGATTTATATAGAGCAAACAGTTTGCTCAGCACTTTACAATATAACGGGAGACAATACAGCAACAATACAAGAGGGTTAGGAGGGCCCTGCTCCTTGGAGCTTACAATTAGGAATCAAAAGGGTACCTACAGTATGACAAAATGCCGTTGTCTGAATTTCGTCTAAGCGATTTTAGCAATTATACCTGAAGAAACCATTAATGAATCACAAACTCAATATCATATCATGTGACTCATATACAAAGTATGGCTAACAGCAGAAAATCTTTTTCCAGACTTCCTTGTGTACTGCATAGAACACAATGCAAATC